ATACAGGGCATATTAAGAGCTTGAAGAATTTAGAAGAGTAAAAGTTCATTCCGATCTGAGTGTCCAACTGGAAGTGGTCAGGCGTGCTCTACCAGCATGAACTAGAGACTTTCACAGAAAAAAAAATAAAAGGTGGAAGCAAAACAAAGAAATGGTGGATGGGCTGTAGCTTCAAGCACAGTTGGCTGTTTGTGATTGGCTGTTCTCAGGTTTTGATGGTGCAATCTTGAGGCTTTTCAGGCTTAGGTTTTTGTTTGCTTCTCACGATGCCACAGCATTAGAGCCACCTTGGTCTCATGGTCTCCTTGATTAATTTAACACTTCCTTGTTCCACTCTCGCCAAGGTTTCTCAATGGCATTTGAGAGTGTCCTTAATATGTTAGGGCAAACCCTAGGAAGACACAAAAATATATAAAAAGTATAATGTCAAATGATTTGGTTTATTACTGTGTTCCCAAAAAGAAAAAACATAAAGATATGCAGGAAAAGTCAGACATAAATACTTCAAAATACTAGTATTATGTTTGGTGCAATGATGTTTATACTAGATGCTTTTATGTATTTTACAAAATTTCTACAGCACGCTTTATAATCAGGGCAAAAAAGTAACATTCCAAACATAATAAAGCATGAAATTGTCTCTGGCCATAAAATACCACCTTTTCCACAACTGTGTCATGCTGTGAGCTGGGGTGGTTTCTCTCTCTTATCCATCCCTAACCCCTTGCCTTCTGTGGCTCTTCAAACATGCTTTACATTACGTCATCCAGGCACTGACTCTCATTTGCCTCTCTTCCTCCATTAGGCTTAACAAAAAACTTTGAGACAGGAAGTTTTCCTGAAAGAACAGATTATTGAGCTACTTACCAGCCAGAAAAAAGCCAGGTTCTGGGACAAACCGTCTAGCCCAGTGGTCGGCAAACTCATTAGTCCATAGAGCCAAATGTCAACAATATAACAATTGAAATTTCTTTTGAGAGCCAAGTTTTTTTAAATTTAAACTTCTTCTAATGCCACTTCTTCAAAACAGACTCACCCAGGCTGTGGTATTTTGTGGAAGAGCCACACTCAAGGGGTCAAAGAGCTGGATGTGGCTCATGAGCTCCAGTTTGTTGACTACGGGTCTAGACCAGCAGCTGGGCTGGATGGAGAAGGCAAGCATGCCCATCATCCTGGGATGGCCGGGAACATGCGTTTGAGGAAGAAAGATGTAAGTTGCTTTTGAAAGGACTTACATTGTCTCTAGATAAGGGGGCAGGGAAAAGGTAAATCAAAGAAAGTTCTAGAACATTCTGGGATAGGTGAATTGTCTGTAAGGAAGAAGTATTTGATGCTTCTGTGACGGTTGTGGGAAACAGGCCAGAAAGTAAGCAGGATGCTGTGGCATCTGGGGGCAGCGTTTCTTTCCAGGTGGCTGCTGGGAAGCCCATTCAAGGTTTCAGTCCATTCAGGAAGGCTAGCCGTCTTCTGTTGGTTTCAGCCCCGACTGTTCCCCAATGAACTTCCCTCGCCTCTTCCTCCCACCCACCCTCCAGCCTGCTGTCATTTCAGTTAGGCATCTCAGAATGTTGCTCTTCTCAGATTAAAAACTCACGGGTGGTGAAAATTGCATTTGAAATGCTAAGTAGCTCCTGGAATAGCTCAGTATCTTTGCACAAAGTAGATGTTTATCCATTCCAGCCATGCCCTTTGCAGTTTATATTTGACTAGAGGCCCAGTGTATGAATTCATGCACCAGTGGGGTCCCTTGACCTGGCTTGTGGGATAGGGCCGAAAAAGGGTCTTTAACATCTCCTGAGGGGTCCCAGATTGCAAGAGGGTGCAAGCCAGGTTGAAAGACCCCACCAGTGCATGATCGGGGCCAAGGAGGGACAGAGGAAGGGTGGCAGGGAGTGTCGGGTCCATCTTGCTCAGTCCTGATCACAGGATCCCAGCAGCAAGCTAACCTACCGATTGGAGTGTCTGCCCCCTGGTGATCAGTGTAGGTCATAGCGAGCAATTGAATGGCCTTAACATATCATTAGAATGTTATGCTTTGATTGGTTGAATAGAAGACAGGACAACCAGACACTTAGCATATTAGGCTTTTATTATATAGGATTATTCTATCCTTTGCTTGAATGTTTTTTACTTTAGCTTTTGTTTGCAATTTGCTGAATAATATTTCTTCAATATAACCTACTTGTTTAAAGTTCAAATGCAGCCCTTCACCTGGCCTGACCACTTTGTGGAGCAGCTAGACTGAGCTGACTGCATTTCTGCAGCAAGCAGAATCCCACATGCTTCATCTATGGACTTTACCTTACCTTGGGTTTTAGAATTTAAGTTAGTTGCTTAGCCCAGCCAATGTGGCTCATTGTCAACCTATGAACCGGGAGGTTATGGTTTCATTCCCTTAATCTCAGTGTGGGGCATACAGGAGGCAGCCAGTCAATGATTCTCTCTCATCAGTGATGTTTCTATCTCTCCCTCTCCCTCTCCCTCTCTGAAATATATATATATATATATATATATATATATATATATATATATATATATATATTTTTTTTTTTTTTTTTTTTTAAGTTGGTTGTTTAGATGATACCTTTACATTTCCCATGGCACCTGCCTACTATCTCCTCTATAGGGCCTTCTTTTTAGGAAGATTTGTAAAATCAGTCTTTCAAATTCTGGGAGGTGGTAAAATTGGGAACCATTGATAATTATCTTTGTTTCCTCCTACCTTCCTTACTAATCACTCTTTTTCATACCTGGGACTTACTGGAAAGTCCCAAGTGCTTTCTGCCTGCCACAACCAAACCTTAGGTGTCTGTCTCTACTAAGGTGAAGACTGGAATTTCAGATTCAACATAGAAAGACCGCATTGTGATGAAGTTGCCTTCCCCTGCAAGACACTCGGGTTTCATTAAAGGGTCCCCTTCAGCAACGTCTTAAAGAGGTTGAAGCTGTAACAATGGACTAACTGAAAGGGGAGTTTGGAGGAGACAAGTGACCCATGTCTGCACCCACAGAAGTGACTGTGTGACCCTTCCCATCACCTGCATAAAAATATGTTAACTTTTTGTTAACAATCATGGAGACTTACAATAGTATGGCAATTCAACTTTATTAAGGACATCATAAAACAGTACATTGGATAAAGGTGTGTTTATTATTTACATAATGCTTATTATGTTTTCCTTGCCTCAATTTGATGGAAAACCAGGCCAGTATCTTCCTCTAGGTGCTTGGCTTGTACTGTGTGTTCTTTATTTTTATTTATTGTGTGTGTGTGTGTGTGTGTGTGTGTGTGTTCTTTGGATATGGAGTTCCTTTGGCATGCAACATCCAAATATTTGTTGCCAACGCAATGTTACAGGATATTTACGACGTTTGGTCATAGTCAATATCAACCTAATTCTGTGGGAAAGAGTGAGGTGTTGAAACACTTTCCAGGCAAGCATCCTTTAGCTACTATCCATTCCATTTTAAGTGGCATGACATGTGCATTCAGGAAGAGTTTTAAAATATTTGCAAACAGGAAGGAAAGGGTCAAAGGCTGAACTGAGCATGGAACATGCCAGAGTGGCCCTAATTAATTTTCTCCGCCTCCAGCTGCAGAGGGATCATCAACAGGAAGTAAACCCATAGTGGAAGCCTCTGTGGAAATCCAATGTGTAACAGAAAATAAATGAAGGGCTCATTACTCATAAGGGAATTCATTGTATGGTGTCTGTCAGATAGCATCTCTCTAGTGCCCCTTAAATATGATTCAACATCAGGGTAAACACATATTCCACTGATATTTTCTTTGCATCAAATAGACCAATTTTAGGTCCTATCTTTGAGTGTTATCTTCAGATGTGTCTATGGTGCATCTCTTGAATATTGGCCTGGTGACCCATTTATTCCTCGGAGAATAGAATTTTAGGGACGGGGTAGGCAAAAGTCAAGTGACACAGCTGCTCTGTGAATATTGGCTAAACGTGGCAATAAAAAAAGTCATAGCATTTTTATTTTAAAAAGGCTAAGAGATTTTATTGTATGTCTCCTATTTTGTATCCAACAGTTTGACTATATATAACTAAGTCTACAACGCCTTCGACATGACTTGTCAGTGTGTGTAATTTCATGAGGGTACTCTCTAGAGAAAAGGTGGGCCTACACACTCGCCTGCAGGTCAGTGCCAACCCAGACTTATTGAAATCTAAGAAACCCGGTGGGAAAGGGGCAACCTGGTAAACCAGATCTTGTCAATCCGACTCTGAGTCAAGACACAATTCTATTTTGAAAAATACAAACTACTAGAAGTTAGGATTTGATTACAGTAACATCCTTGTTTTTTTTTTTTTTAAACAAAACAAAACAACAACAACAAACAAACAAAAAAAACGAGTCAATCATGTGTGGGCATGGTGACTACTTTTGCTACCTAAAAGCTATCAGGAATGACAAAAAAATATCTGTGCTTCATTTATGAATGTGGACCCACTGGATCAGAGTGCTACTTCCCAGTCTAGGTTTTGTACACTTGTTTCTGGTAGCTGGATCCTAGAAAGTGCCCCTGTTCTTGCCTCAGCCCCATCTTAATCACGGCCTCCTATTTGCTGAAAAGTCTTAAGTGATGACTTAAGTCAAAACCGCAGGGGTTCCTGAAAGTGGCTATTGAACTAAAAACACAGCTGCCAGAACTCTTTGCAAATGACTGCTCTATCAGCACCAGTATTCCCACCTGTACCCAGTGGGGAACTCTCTTTTAGGTTCTTAGGGAAGAGGAATGAAGGTGGTGAGTTTCTTGGTCAAGGTCACTTGGGGAAAACGGTTTTGTGTTTGATTCTCCTGAACCCCTGAGTCATCCCACACATGGTTGCTGAATCTGTAGCCTCCCTAACAGTGTAACCGATATATTAAAAAAAAAAAAAAAATACAACAGGGAGAACCCTTAACCCTAATGTTCCTCAGGTGATAACAGTGCCAGGTGAGCTACAAGTCTTCCCAGAGGGGAACTGGTGGTCACACATTCACTTAGTTTCGAAGAGCAGGAAGCCCGCGAAGGTGGAGAAGCGCTGGTGGTCCCCATGAAGAGCGCCGTTGCCCATCCTCAGCCACACCTCGTCGCCTTTGGCCAGCTTCAGCACCGCGTGGTTGCTGGACGTGTCTGACTTCCCCTTGGTCTCGTAGCTGGAAAGAGAAAAAGGCACCGTCTACTTAGGCTCTGCAGTGGACCGTCTGCTCTTTTTCTATAAAATATATTTTATTGATTTTTTTACAGAGAGGAAGGGAGAGGGATAGAGAGTCAGAAACATCGATGGGAGAGAAACATCCATAAGCTGCCTCTTGCACACCCCCTATTGGGTATGTGCTTGCAACCAAGGTACATGCCCTTGACCAGAATTGAACCTGGGACCCTTGAGTCTGCAGGCCGACACTCTGTCCACTGAGCCAAACCAGTTAGGGGGACAGCCTGCTCTTTACCAAATTCTGTCCTCCCCTTCTCTCTCAGCTCCCCTGCATTTAGGGATAGTCCTGTGGTTGAGTCCTTTCGAGGACACGTAACAGAAAGGGCATGTGTCACTGCTAGAATTGGCCAGTGCAACTCTCAGGAAGACCCCTCCTTGACCCTTCCTCGTTATGATTGTGTGGGATGCTAATGACAATGACCAGAAGGACCTTGGCAGTTGTGTGTTGAGGCCTGAGCTCTTGAAGAATGTGTAGAGGAAAGATCTTTATCATCCGCCCACTCTGGAGCAACCACTCTGGACTGTCCTATGAGGAGAACAGGGGTTTCTACAGGGGCCAAGCCTCTACATGGGACAACATTAGTTTGGTCCACCCTAGCTGATTTAGAACTTGGCCTTAGAAAAAGGGCCGCCAAACTAAAATACAGGTGCTTGCAGAAACCGGTTTGGCTCAGTGGTAGAGCGTCGGTCTGCGGACTGAAAGGTCCCAGGTTCGATTCTGGTCAAGGGCATGTACCTTGGTTGCAGGCACATCCCCGGTGGGGGGTGTGCAGGAGGTGGCTGGTCGATGTTTCTCTCTCATCGACGTTTCTGGCTCTCTATCTCTCTCCCTTCCTTTCTATAAAAAAATCAATAAAATATATTAAAAAAATAAAAGGCTCTCTTTGAAAAATAAATAAATAAATAAAATAAAATAAAATAAAATACAGATGCTCCTTGATTTACATGAGAATGTGTCCAAATAAACTCATTGTAAGTTTAATACCGTGTTGAATCATTATGCTGTACATCTGAAATGAATATAATTTGTATGTCAATTATACCTTAATAGGAAAAGTTTAACCTATGAACCTGGAGATTACAGCTTAATTTCTAGTCAGGGAACGTCCCAGGTTGTGGGTTCGATCCCCCGTGTGGAGCATGCAGGAGACAAACAATCAATGATTCTCTCTCATTGATGTTTCTATCTCTCTCTAACTCTCTCTTCCCTCTCTGAAATAAAAAAAAAACAAAAAAACATTTTTTTTAAATAACAGAGAATTGATAACAGCCCTAAAATTTTCCAAAGATAACCAATCACCTATTTAATTGTGGGGAAGATGTTAGCTCTCTGCCTCTTTCCCACATCTTATGCTTACATCACTCTAAGTTGAAATATTTCTTTTAAAAATAATTTCCTCCTCAAGGAGCCCTAGTGCCAGAGATAGATCTCAGAGCAATAGCTCGGCCAAGAGAGAAGAACCCACTCCAAGCTCTCAATCCATCAACCCACAGGGACGGTCGACAAGGCCATCAATGGGGCTAAACTCTGAGCAAAAGGGGAGGGAGAGTAGGAATGCGGAAGGAAAGAATGAGAGAGAAGGAAAGATGATGAGTTTTAAAAAAGTATACAAATGATTGGTTAAGGGGAGCATTGCTAGTAATTAATCCAGGGCCTTTTCGCCTGTTTATGCCCAAGTTTATCAGGTTTGTTTACCCCAATTAGTAGTTATAATCTGGCCATATCCTGGTGTGTGGGAGTTCTCAGGGAAGACAGGATCCATGTCAGGGTCTACTGATTCCTAACTAGTCCTTGGCATTGGCCATCCTGTGAGCAGACAATGGTGGCGTGGACATAACCTTCGATTGAGAAGGCCACCCACCTGTACATGCTGAAGACCGTGTTGCCGTTGTGCATGAGGTACACATACACTTCCTCAACATCTTCATGCTTCATCATGCTGAAGGTGAAGAAATACACACCTGGAAAAGGCAGGCGTTCAGTCATGTTTAGGTTCCTACATGTACATTGAGGACCACGGACAGCAGGCAGATACAATCCAGGACTTCTCACTTGTTTTGCTGGCAGTCTAAGGCAGTGGTCGGCAAACTCATTAGCCAACAGAGCCAAATATCAACAGTACAATGATTGAAATTTCTTTTGAGAGCCAAATTTTTTAAACTTAAACTTCTAATGCCACTTCTTCAAATTAGACTCGCCCAGGCCTGGTATGTTGTGGAAGAGCCACCCTCAAAGGGCCAAAGAACTGCGTGTGGCTCGAGAGCCATGGTTTGCTGACCACCGTACTATATAGTCTGCAGGTTCCTCGGGGCCCTTATTTGCATAAGGACTTCTCTATCTGCTCTCACCTTCAAACTGCTTTACTCCCCTCCACACCCCCCCACTCCCCCCAGACTTTCTTAATGTGCATAGTGTGTGTTAAAGGAAAGAGTCGACCTCATTTTGGCCATATGTCACTGCCTCCTCTTACCCCCAACGAAGTGCTTAAGACAAAGTAATAGAGTACAGAGCACACTCGCCACAGATTAGGCCAAAGATAAGAATATTGTAACACAGGTAAGTGTGTATTCGCGCTAGAGAAATAGTCCCAATAATTTCTCCCAATAGACATTGTAAGTAGGTGAAATTATGTACATTAAACAGAAAGATGCAATGTTGACTCAGCAGCAAAACCTTGCTCCTATCAATATGAACCCTTCTCATCTAGAAAAGGCAAACGTGTTTTAAAAGATACGAATTTCTTTGTAAGATTTCAGGGCTCCTCATGGAACGCACCTTAGTATAACCTGACACATTCGAAATGCCAGTGTAGACCGATAGTACCTTTACTGGGTGATTAAGAAGGATCCAATCATAGGAAGAGGAGAGGAAAGGAAAATCTCCTCAACTCCCAAGCGTCCTAGATTTGAGAGTGCACTCTGGAAAGATGACGGAACATAAAGCACAGGCTCTCATTGATGTCCATGCTACGTTTTTAAACTGATGGCCACATGTGAGTTTATTCGAACTGCTGTAATAGAACAGCACAGACTGAGCAGCTTAGAAACCATAGACATTTATTTCCCATAGTTCCAGAGGTCGGAAGACTGAAACCACAGTACCCTCTTGGCCAGATGAGAGCCCTCCTCCAGGTCATGGGCTTGTGCTGGTACCGTCTTTCTGCAGAGGGGCCTCTTTCACACAGGCACTAATCCCACTCCTGAGGGCGCCGCTCTCATAATCCAATCGCTCCCCAAAGGCCCTACCTCCGAAAGTGATCATTTTGAACATTGGATTTTCAATGGAGGGATGTTGAAGGGATGCGAGCATTTAGCCCACAGCAGGCTCTGTGAGAAAACCCCAGAGACATCTAAAACCAGCTGTGCATTGTTTGGTCTCTTTTCCAAAGGTGCAATCAAGTAAGCTAGATGTGGGAAGGGTACTTGCTGATGCACCTGCTCCTGAGTCAAGTGGAGCCAAATAAAGAAGTCTGAAAAAAAATAAAATAAAATAAAGAAGTCTGATTATGCTTCACGGTGCTAGCATATGCAATGTGCCGGGATGAAAGGAAATAGTGTTCACATTAGCCATGTCCATTCATACTCCCAGCTGGTCCTCAGGTGAACAGTAGAAAACTCAAAGAAAGTAGTATATATGTGTTCAGTTTTTTACATTTTACAAAACTTCCTATTACACACACACACACACACACACACACATCAATTTTCAATGCCTCAAAAAAATAAAGCTAGAATCAAAGGACAGGAAAATATCTTTGTTTTTATGAAGAAAAATGATGACTACTGTAAGAAATGAATTGCAAAAGCATTTCAGAAAGAGCAGATGGGGAACCTGAATGGTGAATAATAAAATCCCCAGAGTTGGAAATACAAAAATGAATATATATCACACCCACACATGGTGTTTTCTCAGAGAACGCACTTGAACTATGGTTTTCAGATGTTACTGTAACTGCAAAAATCAACCTTTGTCTCATCGCTCCCAAAGATGAAAATCATAAAACAGTCCTTTGCAATCTACTGGATGAGGCTTAAACAGTCTAGTGGGAGTCAAAATGATAGTTGTTATTATCAGACTCATATCCAGCCCAAAGGAGTTCTATAATAAAAAACGATTACATCCTTGACTTCCATTACAGAGCCACTGAAACATTGACTGGGCTTATCGAGGTGTTTATATAAACTGTGGCATGGGTAGCGCTTAACACAACAGTTCTAGGAAAATTATAAACTAAATCTTCAGAGCAGAAAAATCACAAAAGAAGTTTTAAAGCGGATTGAAGTGTGATGAAAGGTTGTTCCTATCACTTCATATGACATTCATGCCTGGCTTTAGCTGGGTAGAAAGATAAAACAAGGCGCATATTAATAGCGTATGCAACAAGTCTAACATGGTCACTGCACCCATCAGAATTTTCATCTTTTCCTTTTGGGTACATCTAGAGAAACAAAAAGGATTGAAAAGAAACACCTAGAAGTATCCATTTCCTGCAAAGCCAAGAGACAAAAACAAATAAATAAAAGCAACAAGACAATAAACTTTAAAAGTCCCATGGAGGTGACAAGAGGGTGGGGCAGGGGGGTTTGAGGAGGCCATATAGCAGCAGATCTCCATCCGTGCCAAGAAAAACACACTCCCTGATGGAGAAAGGCCCCTCTGAAGGACAGATGCCGAGCAAAAGTAATGAATTGGGGGAAGGTTGCTAAATAAACTGCAGAAGATGTGGGAAGCAGCCCTGCAGTGGCAGATCCTAGAACCCGCCAGCAAAAATAAGATACAAGAGAAGTGCCAGGTTGTGTTCAGAAGTCTTGTTGGACCCAGAGCAGTCTAGAGAGGCAGAGGAAGTGTGACCACACAGGGAGGCACACAGAGGGACTAAACAAGAAAAGCTGTGCGTCCCCTGACAGCAGGGCAGAGAGCCACTGAGTTCCCAAGCCCGCAGGGCTGCTGGGCCCATCCTCACCCAGAAATGACTGCCTGTGGCGATTGGGTCTAGGAAAACCCAACCCATTCAACCATCAGTTCACTTTAAAAACTAGAAAAGCGCAGCAAAGATTACCAACAGGTGAAGAATATTCACCAAGAGGAGATGGTGTTATGCAGTAGATGAAAAAAATGCAGCCAAGTATTCCATCGTGAGTTTAAAATATAGCAACTAAGCGAATAGGAAAAGATTATGAAGCAATGCAGGAATTCATGGTAGAAATGGCCAGACAAAAGGGGGAACTAGAGATCACGACATCATGATTAACATTAAGACATTTTAAAAAATCATAGAAACAAGACAGAAGACATTGGAAGAAGTGAAAAGAAGACACAATTAAGAACTTGCAGGATAGAAAGAGAAGAAGCAAACAGCAGGAAATGGAAATGAAGAGCACTAAAAGATTACAGAAAATGACAGGAATGCCTGTAAGTGGTCCACCCTACAAGGGAATATTTTATCACAGACATTGTTTCGAATGGCTGGCCTGTGAAGATAAAAACTCTGACTGACTTTTTATTGGTTTCATTACAGTTTTAAAATATTCTCTAGACCAAGTACCTCTTGTTACCAGGTTTCTTAACAAGTCAGACTGTTCCCACTGCCACCCCACCTTAGCACAACAGTGAGAAGATAAAACAGTATTTATGATGTAAAAAATAACTCAAAGAAACTTTTCTGGACAAAAAGAAGGCTTAAACCCACCATATCAAAAGGGCACAATGCAGAGTAGGAAAAGTGAACTCAGAATGACTAACAGTTATTCTAAAAAAATCATTGGACTTTGAAGTGAAAGCAAGAATTCTTTGGTAAGTTAAAGAAAATGATTAAGCTACTTATAAGAGAAAAACTTCAGACTTGTTTCAGAGTTCTTTGGGCCAAATGCTAGGAGACGGGGGAAAGAGCTGTAAACCCAGGTTTTTACATGCAGCTCAAGTTCCCGCAGAGTACAGAACACCTGAAGTCCCGGGAATGCTGATGCCATAAGCCTTAAGAAAATAATTAGAGGCTAAAGTTTAGCCGGTAAAGAGATGTCTGGGAAACTCTGGTGGAATAACTAATAGTGAACATTGACTATTTAAATTACATGAATAAGTCTAAACCAATAACCTCAGATTGAGAGGCACTAATCTAAAATATAACCCTCTCAGCCTCCCTGCCTCCCTTCCTTCCTCCCTCTCTCCCTTCCTTCTCTCTTAATTGCTGAATGGGTTAATTCAATCATTCACTTATTTTTACATCTCACCTGACACTGGGGCCCCGAATCTACCAGTCATGACATCGAAGAAGTTTCCAATGTTGGTCTCAACGCTGCTGAAGATGATGCCGCTGTTCTGGTTGCTGAAGTGAGTTGCCAGGGAAGCCATGAAGGCGATCTAAGGAGAAGGGTGGATGGCTACTTAATAGACAGCTCGTTTGAAAGGAATAGGCTTTAATACTGGTCAGTTTAGTTCAGCGGTGTTTGTAACAGCAAGATGGGAAATCACACAAACGTTCATCTATGGCAAGTGAATTAAATAAATGATGGTCATTTCCAACATTTTTATGCTATGTGGCCACTAAAATGATTGTACATAGCAACAGTCTGATCATGCATTTCAAGGAACATTAGACTTCAAAATGCTGTTTGAAATGTGAAAATTCTATTATCAAACCATATTGGGGAAATTTGGATGAAATCTTCTACGTATACCTATTAAGGGCACCTCGGTATGGTAAAGATTTGAGAAGCCCTTAGCCAGGGTGTAGCCACTCACAGCTTTGGGGTAAGAGTTGGCTTTGAGAATGAGTATCAGCCATCTTACTAGTGAACTTTAACCTGGCCAATGGCATTGACTCCTTCTGTTTGTAAATATACACTGGCACGTGGCTCCCAGGTTGCTAAAATTATTAAGCAGCATTCATTAAAATCTCACAAAAGCAGTTAGAGGAACATATAGGACCTCTTAGTTTTACAAGGCCCAGAAAAATGATGGCATTTATCCAGAGTCAAACAACCATTATCTATGCCCACATAAAAGGCAAAATTTTCCTCCATTGGTCTTTCAGACAGTTTATATATTCAAGTTGTGAAAACCCTTTTTATTTAGCATGGCTTCAGATTTGGAAAATGGGAGATGGGCTGACATTCAGGGTCACCTTGAGTTTGGTCTATTGAGGGAGTTGGGTTTCACTCTTCCAGCATTTCTCTACTCCCTAAGGATGACTCTGAACAGCACAGAGCTTGCGCAAACCTCCTATGCTGAGCCTCAGATGTCCTCCATGCTGGTGCCTGAGCCTTCCTTCCTGGACCGTGAGGCCCAGGCCGATGGGGAAGTCACCTGGGGATGCAGTCACCTGAGGATGCAGTCACCTGGGAATGCAGTCAGTCACCTGGGGATGCAGTCACCTGGGGATGCAGTCAGTCACCTGGGGATGCAGTCAGTCACCTGGGGATGCAGTCAGTCACCTGGGGATGCAGTCACCTGGGGATGCAGTCACCTGGGGATGCCCGGCACGTACCTGTAGTTCCGGTGGGATCCCCGGGTAGCCCTTTTCTCCTTTGGGGCCGTGCTGCCCGCGCTCCCCTCGGGGCCCCAGGTCTCCTTTGTCTCCTTTCTCACCTTTGGCCCCTTCGTGGCCAGTGGCTCCGTTATTGCCATTGTTTCCATGGTTTCCTTAAATGACCAGACACCTCATATGAGAAAGCGCCCCACTCATACTCACCATCTATTCTCTTGCAAACACAGCCCCCAAACGCACAAGCTCAGTTGTAAAGGGGGCCATTTGAAACAACCCCAGACACAGCCATGGGGGCACATCAAATGGGATCTCCTTTAAGCGGGACACTCTTAAAGCTCCAACGCCTGTCTTTCTGATAAAACGGGACTTAGATGAAAAAAATGTGTAGAAGACGGATGACCAAAGCATCATTTATAATAGTTAAGATTAGAATCCACCTAAAGGACTCCCAATACTGGAAGGGCTAAACTAAAAAAATAAATAAATAAAAAATTTTAAAAAATAGAAAAGAAAAAAAAAAAAAAGAGGTACAACAGGGAGATGATGTTCTATAGTTATAAAAAAGAATGCTGAACAAAAGTAATAACATTAAAATATTCATTGTATTTTTCAATAGAAAGGTTATCCATCAATAGAGATAGCATGATACTAAGTGTGTGTATGAATATATATATATATATATATATATTGTGTGTGTGTGTGTGTGTGTGTGTGTGTTATACTTAAAGGGGGAAAGACTAGAACAAATTACATAAAAATATTTACAGTGATTTTTTTTTTCTAAATGGACAAAACATGAGTGATTTTTGTGTCATTTTTACATACTTTCCTATTTTCTTTCTGTGTGTTTTTAAAAGTTTTCTTCAAAGGACCCTTTTACAACTGGGGAAAATAAACTCTTTGATAAAAAATTAGAATAACTTTGAAAGCAAGACTTGGCTAACAACTTCAACTCTGCTTTATTTTGCCACAACGTCTGCAGCTCTTTTCTTTTTACATTTGTTGCATTTCGGGCCCTTTCGCTGTTGACTCTGGCTTGTCACCCTTCCAGATGGGTGAACTTTGAGTGTTTATAGGTCAGTGAGTTAATGACTAAACTGCTCCTGATGGGGAGCACTTAGCCAAAGCCAGCCTGTCCTGTCACCTGGGGAGAGTTTATCCAAGAAGATTTTGGAAGAGTCTGAATATCTCACCTCGAACCACTTACCTGCTGCCTGATGTCACTGATGGTCAATGACATTGATTCAATGCCAGGAATCGCAGTTTAAATTCTAACGGGGCATTTTTTTCATTTCATTTTATTTTTTAAATATATTTTTATTGATTTCAGAGAGGAAGGAAGAGGAAGAGAGAGATAGAAACATCAATGGTGAGAGAGAGCAATCCATCAGCTACCTCCTACATGCCCCACACTGGAGGTCAAGCCAACAAATTGGGCATGTGACCTCCTAGTTCGTAGGTTGATGCTCAACAACTGAGCCATGCCGGCCAGGCAAATATTTCCTCACTTTAAATTTGATTACCTTCAAGAAGCCATTCAATTGTATTTAAAAAATTAAACCTACTTTGTTAGACATTAGCATCAATGGGATAAATCAGGGAAGAGCAAGAGGACATTTGCCAAACCCTGAGAAAAAGGTCCAACCCCAGGAATTAACCTGGAGAGAAGGAAGACGACTAAACCCCCAGACAGAGTTGGAAGTTCTGACCTTTCCCTGTCTGACCGAGGATACAGCAAGTTATCCAAACCCCACCTGCCGGGGACACCACTCAGTAGAGTAGGAATGGGTGAATGGTGGGTCTGGAGGCATGGTGGGGCTCTACAGCACCCCCTTTCCGCCCTGATCTCCGTCCCCCCCTCATCCCCCCCCATGCCTCCATATATGCAAAAATGTTCCCATGAGACTAAGAGAGCCATAAAAGGCAACCGAGGGTCACTGAACATGAAAGGTGCCAAGACTGGGGAAGAGAAATTGAACTGAATGAAGAATCTGACAGGAGGATGGGCAGCTCAGTGAATGGCATCATGGAGATACCTGTAGCCTAGACCAGGAAACTCTCCTCTCCTTCACACCCTCACTTCACAAATTCCTTGAACGTTCCATACAGGGCATCACATGAACCGCCCTGCAGGGGTATGTTCCAGTTAAGCTCAGGTAGTTCCCTACTCGATGCTTCAAATGGAATTACAAATAATATCGAGGTGGTACTGCTCCAGCTAAACTGTCTACACACCCAGTCTACCCAACTCTCCTTTGGATTTTCCATGATACCCTTTGGATCACACCCAAGCATCTCAGGTGATTTGGGTTCACCCCCTGGCTCCTATTTTGGCACAGTCTGCAATTAGGCCTGCACAGTGCATCTCTCCCATCCTTACCTGGAATGCCAGGGGGGCCGGGAGGTCCAGGCGGCCCTTGGTAGCCTCGGAAGCTGTAATCTCCATGGCAACACTTACTGCAGTCTGGGGGCAGTCCTCCTGGTGATGGAGACTTTAAAAAGAGACAAAGAGGAACTTCAGAGCAAGGTAATTAGGACTTCTGAATTTCTCTGGCCTTGATCCCTAGGCAAGTTTAACTCCAAACAACCCACAACAACATAAGAAAATACTGGGTGGGGTGGGGATGTCAAAGGTAAAGGGGTAGCTAAGATGAACCAAAGATCAAAAGGTAAAGGAACCAAGAGAATCAATCAGAGAACACACCCTTTGGAAAGGAGTGTGAGTGGGGCTGAGGGTGGGGTGTTGGGCAGTATCCCTAGAAGTACTTTTTCGCTGCAACTCATGACAGCAAGCAAGGAAACTTCAGAAACACCCCCTTTTTCCCCAAGAGCCTCAGATGCAGCTAGATTTGAGTACATGACCCCCAAAGGAGAATTATCAACTTTTTACAGAATATGCATAAAGTAACTGCTAATACTCCTTTTTTTTTTTTCATGGTTTGTGTAAATATTATACAAGATGACAAATACAGAAGAATGAGGCAGAAGGCAAAGCTCAGATCATGATCGTTCACAGGAGAGAAATGATCCAGAGTAGCTTTTTCCCCCACTAATAAAAACCATCAGACTTGCCTCCCATTTACCTGCCCTTCCCTTTTTTGGAAAAAAAAAGAAAAGAAGTATCAGCCTCAACTCAGATCCCGTGGCTATGACACTGGCCCTTCCCCAGTGGTCAACAAAACAACAAGACTGCCTAGGAATTAGCCTTCCTAGCTTTGTGAGACCACATTGTTTGATCAAAATGTTGTCATCAAAGCATACTTCAGATTAATTTATGTCCAAAAGAGGAACTGTGCACACACACACAAAAAAGAAAGTAACTTCACAGAGTGATCAGATCATAAATTCTAAATTCTAAGTTCCTAACTGGGCAGGTCATGGTGAGTAGTCACATCCCAGGCCTATAACTTCTTTAGTGAAATGTTTTAAGGGACACCTCTTGATTGTTCTTGTGCATCTGGGTTAACATGAACACAGTGTCATCTTATACGCCAGAAAATATGGTACCTTCGAAATACCAAGGGGATATTAACCCTCAGGAGAGCCAATAATCTTGTTCACTCTCCTGAAGTCCAATCCCCACCTTGCCTTTTCCAATCTGCCTTATGTCCTGTGCTTAATTTCATAAAAGAAGCTGCAAATCTGTTATTCCCAGGACCGCTTGGATCTTGCTCCCTGGTGTTGTCATCAGTTTGCCTCAGATAAATTCATTGTTAAAAAAAGAATGATCAACTTTCCATAGTTATTAAGACTATGTTCGTAACATTGGGTTAAGAGTTCTTAAAAATTCTCAGTTGTAACTCTAGCTTTTCAAACAGCCAGAGCACCCTTAGATTACCTTAGGAAATCAAGGAAATGAAGTATTCATATGTTATCTCATTTTAAATTTAGTTTCATTTGAGAAACCACTCAAAGTTTTATTTCAAAAAATTAAACTTTGGTCGATAAATATTGGCATCAATGGAGAGAAGTCCTTCTGTCTTGAAACAACTTCAACTTCCTCTAAATAAGATTTAACCTGATGTTCCCTTTTGTATTCCACTTCAAATTTTAAAATGATTATCACATCGTTTGAACAAATATTTAATGAGTATTTAATGAATATTAAATGTGTTCAAATGTGACACTGAGTTAAACACTTATTTATTTAAAGATAAACTTCTAAAATGTGTGTTTTCACTTCAAGGAGCTAGAGATAGAGGGGAAGTTGATTGGCAAAAGAGTTTGAGTTGCTTATGAAGCTGGAGTCTCATCTGAACTGGAAACTTGCCGTTTAATTATGTCATACAAATACTTGCGGAAACTTTCCTAGACACCAACTGTAATTCAGTGGTTTCTTGAAAACAGCATATTGTTGCTAAGGGAGTCATAAAAAAATAAAATAAGAGGAATTTCAAAAGAAGAGAGAGGGAGAGACAGGAGGGGAAAAACGTAAAATTCACATTTTATAATTAGAAATCCAAGCAGAAAAGTAGATAAAGGCTTCATACGGCTGTACATTTAGACATCACTTTTTTTTTTTTTTTTTAATAAAAAATGGACTTGGATGCTGGGCCAGTATGGCTCAGTGGTTGAGCATTGACCTATGAACCAGGAGGTCACAGTCAGGGCACATGTTGGATTGTGGGTTCCATCCCCAGTGCAGGAGGCAACCAATCGATGATTCCCTCTCATCATTGATGTTTCTTTCTTTCTTTCTTTTTTTTTTTTTTTAAATATATATATTTCATTGATTTTTTTTACAGAAAGGAAGGGAGAGGAATAGAGAGTTAGAAACATTGATGAGAGAGAAACATCAATGAGCTGCCTCCTGCACATCCCCCACCAGGAATGTGCCCGCAACCAAGATACATGCCTTTGACTGGAATCAAACCAGGGACCCTTCAGTCTGCAGGCTGACACTCTATCCATTGAACCAAACCAACTAGGGCTCATCATTGATGTTTCTATCTCTTTTTCTCTTTCCTTTCCTTTCTGAAATCAATTTAAAAAATATATTTTTTAAATCGGCTTGGACTTTTCCCTTATTCTTTCATTTCATTTCCTAAAGGTTTCCACCAAGCCATTCCTGGCCAATGCAGAATGGTGTGTGTAGCCCAGAAATTCTCCCACAACAACTCAGAGCCACGTCTTGAGTGATCAGGCACTTCCATTTGGAACTAACTCTACGTCTACTTTTTAGTTGACCAGACCCAACTATGGACAGGTATGAGAATCCATGAAAACCTGTAAAACTGGTGGCGAAAAAGAGAATCAGCAAAGGTAATTGGTCTGAGACCAAGGCTTTCAGACACTTGGAAAGTCAGACACCACAGCACCGCCCCTTTCCAACCCAAAGATGCACTCTGAGGAGAGAGCATTCCATCATTTCCTGGTAGGATCTTGCTAATGTGAAAATACTGCTCTTTTAGCTCCAAGAAATCTGGTACCAATAATGGGTTTTAGAGAAGAAGGGAGTGGAAGGAGGTAAAATCATCATGTGGAACAATTTGTCTATGAACAGGATCAAAATACAGAGATGGTAAGCAGGCGACTGGACTGGAGCCTGGAAGTCCCGTCTCAGTGCTGTGTGACTTAGGAAAGTCATGTCCCCCAGACATCACTTTATCTTCTCTACTAAATTAGAAGATTGAGTAAGATGGTCATGAGTTTATTTGTTTTTTCCAGCTCTGAGATGCAAACAAAGATACTAAAATATTTTTCAAAACCTGAAATAATGACTTAGATTTTGTTTTTAGTCTATCTAGGCAAGAGAAATGAAGGTCAGGAGATGGGGTTGTTCAGGATCAGAGCTAACTAGAACTGGGGTGCATGCCCAAGCTGCTTGGGGTGCTTTGAGAGCATATAGCTGCCACCAAAACAGGGAGGGACTTCCGGTCACTACCTCTTTTGGACACCTCCGGAGAGCCCTCCTGCATCGTATCATGTGCTCCTCCCTCTGCCTGGCTTTCAAAGCTCAGCCAAGTGGAGCAATGTTAGTGAGTCTTTTGATGGAATTTCAGAATAAGGTGACAGCACATATGAATTAAGATGCCTCCTTCTAGGTAAGAGTGAATTAGGCCATTACTGTCTGTCAATTTCTTAAGTTTATCAATCCTTTTCCCAAAATTAGGTCAAATGTGAACACAATGGACATGCAGATGGGCAGTAGGGGAGGAAGGTGTCCCTAAGACAAGTTCTGTCCATTTTGAAGATGGAGGCTCCACTGCAGCTCTTTAGAAGTCAACTCTAGGCCTGACTGGTTTGGCTTAGGGGATAGAGCATTGGCCTGAGGACTCAGGAGTCCTGGGTTTGGTCCCGAGCGGGGACATGTGCCTTGGTCGCAGGCACATCTCCAGTAAGGGGTGTGCAGGAGGCAGCTGATTGATGTTTCTCTCTCATCAGTGTTTCTAATTCTCCCATTCTCTCTGTAAAAAAATCAATAAAATATATATTTTTTTAAAAAAGTCAACTCTACCAATAGTAAGTAACTTCTAGGAGAGGGACTCCATAGCTTCCTCTTTAACCCAAGTCAAAGGAATGAGAAAGAAGGAGAGGTGAAGTAGGAAGAGAGAGAGGGGGAGAGAGAGGTCTAGAATGAGGAGGGGAGACTGATACAAGTGAATGGTGAAGAGCTGCAGAGAACAAAATGCCAGGAAAAGAGTCCAGGTCTGCTCACCCCCCACCTCTGCACACGCCCATCTATGGAACCTATGGGCACAAGTATTTTCTAGAGACCAAACCTGACAGCTTACTGCCCTGCTATGAACAAACAAGCCAACCTTTGCTGGCAAAGTATGGTCTAAGCTCCTCCACCAGCCAACAGCACCCTCCAGCCTGGCTCTGAAACCATCCCAGGTCCTCCTCCCACTTTGCCCATGGACAGCCACCTTTTTGTTTCATCTTTGAGATCCAACTCAGTGCCCACCACTCTGACACTTTCCCCCCCAACTGTCTCTTGTGCATTGAGTCGGTCACGTTGTATTTAATTATCTATTCATTTATGCACACTAGAATGCTTCAGAAGTGATCAGAAGTAGGACCTCAGGTGTGTTTATGCCCATCCTAAAGCTTGGCACACCATAGAGTCATGGGAAATGACTGGTGAACGAATGAAGGAGGAGATAGAAAAATTAAAACAAAAGAAGAACACAGTACAATCCTAAATTCAGGTGGGTCTCCATATCCATTGGCTGGAGAGTTGCTTTGAAAATGTCTAGAATATCAATGACTAAACCTCCTCAGTATCTCCTGTTGGTGGTTTGTTTGGAAATATGGTAGAGAAGCAGGGGAGTTTGAAAGCCCCCTGACTTCAAAACCAGACAGAAGTGACTTCTTGTGCACACCAACCTGTCAAGCCCTTTTTCCTCCGCAACGATCATCTGATTTCAGCATGCTAAATGCCCAGGGGATAGAAGGTGGGGTGGAGTAGAAATTAATTTGGACGTTAGTAGCCTGCTAGGTATCAGTGGCCAAGAAATGACTGATGACAGTCAACATCTGCTTTCTGCTGTTCCTAGGGGCTCACCCTGCCAGAGCCAGGAAGGATCCAGCAAAGATCCCATCGACTGGAATAGAAATCCAGATCAAGGCTTGGACGAAGGGAGAATATCTTCCGCACAATGGAAAACACAGCTTAGCATCGCTCACCCTGCAGCCAAACGCCAGTCAGACGAGAGGACGAGCTCTGAAAGTGCCTCTCAAAATACAGGTTGCATTTAAAGGTCATCGTGTCTCCTGCGGCTCCTTGAGAAGGAATTTTTCCTTGACGCAGCCCCACGGACTCGAGCGGTTAGAGGTCCCAGGTTAGTCCTAGAGCTTCAGGTGGTTCTGTGTGTGAACTTGGCCTGATCAGATAAGGAGTCTCAACACAAACATCCCCACCTGAGGTAGGAGGGGTTTGGATTTCAACTGCATGTATCTTTTGGGGCCTATTTAAATGCATCAAAACAGTCAATTCTTGTGGCGAAACCTATTTTTTCAAAGATCACATAATTCAGTGTAACTCTGCTTGCCCCCTCATCTGATTTCAGCATGCTTGGTGCCTAGAAAGCAAATCAAAATCTCTTTCTCCCTATGTGGTTCACCTAAAACCAATACAATGTTATATATCAACTAGTGACCCAGTGCACGAAATTTGTGCACATTAAAAGGGGATTAATTAGAGGAAATAATCTAATTACTATTGGCCCTTTCTCTATAATAGAAGTGTGAGAGATGAAAAAAAATTAGTAAAATGTATATGGAAACCTTCCTCCTGTCAGAGTCTGGGGCTCACCATGGGACCCAGAGTCAAGTCTCCACCCACCCACATGCACCTCAAAATCGTGTGAGACCCAGACCTGGCCAGCTCCCCCCGCCCCATTGGGCTAGATCCAGACCCAGCCACTCCCACACTTGTCAAGACTTGCTGGGGGAGGGAGGGGTGAGGAGTGGCTTCAGGTCCCCTGGCCGGGTGCTGGGGCAGGGGGCACAGCCTGAGGTCCCCCATCAAGCCCCGCTAGGCGGGAGGTGCAGTCTGAGATCCCCTGTCAAGCCCTGCCAGGTGGGGAGGGTGTAGCCTCAGGTCCCTGCTGATTGCTCGTTAAGGCTCCTTATGGGAACTTGGCCTCAGCTGTGGGTGCAGCCATCTTTGTGATGGAGTGATGGTCAATCCCTCTTTATCAGATAGGATTATACTCCAATTAAAAATACGTTCAGTAGTTTTGAAAAGACATTTTTAAATCTGTTTCTTCCTATTCTTAATATTTAAAATAAATTGAGTCCCACCAATTTGCCATTCATTACACTGAACCTTTAGCTCACTCCCATACTACCTTAAAAGAGTTAAAGGTGAATCCAATGAACAAAATAAACTGATGGATAAAATAGAACCAGAGGTATGGAAACACAGAACAGACAGATGAATCTCAGAGGGAAGGGGGCGGGCGGACAGGGGGTGGGAAGAGATTAACAAAGAACTTACATGCATGTAGGTATTCATACATATGGACACAGGCAATAGGGTGGTGAAGTCCTGGGGCGGAAAGAGAGCCCAGTGGAGGGGCCGTTGGAGGGAGAAAAGGGGGGTGTCTGCAATACTCTCAGCAACAAAGATTAAATTAAAAAAGAGTTAAAGATGTTCTCTTCTTGCTGAGCCCTTAGTCTGAGAAATTAATACCATCCTCTGTGATTATCAGGCATTCACTCATACAATAAGGTCTACATTTTAAATAGATAGTCTTTTTGTTGATTTAACACTTTTGTTTATTTTAACTCTTTGGTCCTTTTCAAAAAATATATATATTTCTTTATTGATTTCACAGAGGACGGAAGAAGGAGAGATAGAAACGTCAATGATGAGAGATAATCATTGGTCAGCTGCCTCCTGCACGCCCCCCACTGGGGAACAAGCCCGAAACTCAGGCCTGTGCCCTTGACAGGAATCAAACGCGGGACCCCTCTGTCTGCAGGCTGACGCTCTATCCACGGAGCCAGGGCTCTTTGGTCCTTTTTTAAACGGACCAAACATGGAAACTTAGCGACCTAGAACCCTATAAACCAGATCAGCACGCCTGGCATAGAAGGCCACAATAAACTCTCCAATCAAAGCGCAAACCTCCAGGGCAGCTTCCCCCAGCTGGACACTGATTCCCAAAGCCCGACTGCCTAAGGATCTGCAAAGGAGCCTTCTCCTGGACAGCCGCCTCTTCCACGCCAATGGCAGGAGACACCGGGCCGGCAGAGCAGGGAGCTGGCGGCCCCCAGGGTCCTATTTGGTGAGGCTCCGGCAGCCCCCGTGTCCCCGCACACCGATGCGACCTCTGCTGGCTTCCTGAGACCCACCGCCTCCTCGTGCACGGAGCCCCCCAGAGAGAGACCCGCAAGCAGCTCAGCAGACAGCTCCGAAGCATCCCCCCTCAGCATCCCAGCTGAAGCCAAAGCAGGGGCGGCCCCTCCCGGGAAAGCCTGAGAAGAGAATGCCGAGTACCTGGCCCCAGAACGGGGTGCTCTGGGCTAGGCCATCTACCTCGGGGGGCGGTAGCTCATCGGGCCTCGGGGGCTTGGGGTGTGCAGACGCGTTACTAGCCACCGTGCCCGGTCTAGGATGGCTGCGCTCTCTCACTGTCTCCCTCCGGGAGCCACCGCGGGCGCTCTGCTGGTGGCTCTGCACTATCCTGGCCACCACGCTATGCGCTCTCCCGCTCACCTCCATGTACTCGTCTTGGCACAGGCAAAGAGGGAGGGCGAGCAGAGCCAGCAGGTGCCAGCAGACCAGCCGGCCCGGCATGGTTCTCGGCGCCCGGAGCCTCCTGGGGAAGACGGCCGGCCGGCCAGGCGCTGCTCTCCTCCAACGCCGGGCTGGAGGGGCTGGAGGAGGCGGCCGGCGGGCGGCGGTTTTATACTTGGCCGGGGACTAAATGAGGCTGCAGGCCTGCCAGCGGGGGAGCAGACATGCCAGCGGGGGAGCAGAACAGCCCATTCATCACTCCCCACACCGCAGGCGGCGGCCTGCGCGCACAGCTCCCAGTTGCCGGGGTTCATAAATGTCACACCTTGGCCCGTTCTCCTGGTTCAGAGTGAAGAGAAGCATGTGCGGCCAGCTGGGAACAGTGGGCGTGTGTCCGGGGCTCGCTGTGGGGATGAGACGGGGGGGGGGAGGGGGGAGGCTGTGCCCGCGGACTGAGATGCCTTTTGGAAAAGCCTCCGGCCCGCCTGCCAGGAAATCCGGGCTTGACGGCACCCAGGCCGCCTGAGAGGCAGGGAACCCAGGGCGGTCCAGAGCTCCTGCCCTCGCTCTTAAAGGTCACCCTTCCCCATGATTGGCTTCGAGGAACTCCTTTCCCCTCCTGTCTCCCCAACACCAACAGCATTCAGGTCTTGGGGTGAGTCCCGAGCACCAGGCTGCATTCAGACCTCCGGAGTTTCTGCGGTTAGCAACTGCGTGTCTCTGTCCGGCAAACGCGCTTTCCGAGTTACAAACACCCAGCAAACCCGTTTCCCTGAGTTTCCAAAAGCCAGAGTTAAGTCCGAGTTCACCACGCTGCTGTGGTGGATGAAGCCAGTACACTCCCCTTTGCAATGAGAGCATCTCTGGCCCTTCTTCCTTCTGACGTGTGGTTGGTTGGAATCGAACACATGGACACGCTGAGCCGAATGCAGGACTCGGAGCAGATCAGGACAGAGGGGTCCTCGGGTCCTCTGTCTGCTCGCTGGGCTTTTATTCATTCTGCTGAGGAGCGAATGGACATGCCTAGCCTCGTGGCGATAATAAATTGAGAGAATTCTTGTAGAGTTTGTCTTTAAGGTGGCTTCTATTTACATCCGTCACTTACTACTCCTCATTCCTCACACAGTAAGAAGTCACCGGAGTGAGAGACCTGCAGGGGGTGAATGAGTGCAAGTGTCTGCTGCCCAGCAGACAAGGGGCCCTGTCAGAAGGCCAAGGCTCAGAGAAGCTGATGTGACGGAGCAGCTGGAGAGAGCGGGGAGGTGGGAGTGGTGGTGGGGCTGCTCTCCTTTCCCAGCTGTCCTCCTCACTCAGCAGAGAGGCCTGAGAGCTTATCCACCTGCACCTGCCAGACAGCTGGCCCCCACCCCCACGTCCCTGCCGGGGAAGGGCCTGGTGCTGGGGGTGGAATGAGTGAGGGTGAGGCTGTCACAGACGCTCGCCAGTTGACAGCTGTCGGCCTTGGGAGCCAGGCTGTTCGGCAGCAGGCAGCCCTATGGGGTGGGGTGTATGACGCTCAGCAGCCCCATCTGCATGTCTGCCCTGTGGGGCCCACGGGCTCCTCCCTGGAGGATCTCTGCTTCTGCCCCTGGGAGGGCAGCACATCAAGCATTATCTGACACTGACTCTGACTGGGGATTGCTTAACAGACCTGGAGCTGGAGACAGGAAGGCTAGTCTCAGGCCCTGCAGACAGACGACGGGTGGATGGGAGGCAGTGGTGAGGGGAGAGGTCCTGTGCTGTGCCCCAGGGGGATGCTCCTCACCAGGGAGACCCCGGGGCAGGAATGGCCTTGAAGCCAGGTCACCCACTGACCAGTTTTCTCAGCGCTCTCCAGCCACTCTCTCAGCCCGCACCCTCTGGCCCCGGTCTGCAAGTCAACCTCTCTGACGTTCAGCTGCGCTGAGACTTTCCACTGGTATTTTCCAGCCTCCCATCCATTCTAGTGGTTCTCACTCTTGGCCGCATCATAACACCAACCAGGGAACTTCTAAATATATTCGTGCCTGGGCCCCGGCCCAGACCAACTGAGTCAGAACGTCTCGTGGGGCGTGCGCACCAACAGCGTTTTCAAAGCTCACAGAGAAGATTCCGGTGTGCAGCCAGGATTAGAAGCCGCTGGCCCCCCTCTCCTTGACATCCAAGGAGAATAAATAATGTCTATACTTTTCCGAGCACTTACCACAGGCCAGCTTCTTTGCTTCATTCATTCAGCTCATTACTTTCCTCAGTAACCCTCTCACCCCCAGATGAGGAAACGGAAGCTCAGAGAGGTAAGATGACCTTCCTGGCGTCACACAGCTGGAAGGGGTCATCAGGATGTGCCTTCATCACCCCCCCTGCCTCCCTCCAGAGAAACAGGGAAGACCCGAGGCAGGCTGCCCGCAGACAGGAGGCCACTCAGGGCTCATGGGGCCTGCCCACAGGAATCTGAGGCCAGAGGGTTACGAGCTGAAATGTATCACCCCCAAAAGATGTTGAAGGCCTGGCCCCTCGCTCCCATGAGGATGACTTTATTTGGAAATAAAGTCCTTTGTAGATGAGCATGTTGAGATGAGATCATTAGGATGGACCCTAACCAGACACGGCTGTGATGTTACAAAGAGGAAACATTTGGACACACAGATAGACACCCACATGGGGACACACACACACACACACACACACACACACACATGCCACGTGAAAATGAAGACAGAGATGGGGGTGATACTTGTGCCAGTCAAGGATCACCAAAGGCTGCTGGCAAACCACCAGAAGCCAGGAGCAGGCATGGTATAGCCTCCCCCTCACCCTTCCCCTTCCCCCTCCCCATCCCCCACCCCCCCAGTCTTCAGAAGGAGCCAGCTCTGCGGACACCCACACCTCCGATGCCCAGCCTCCAGAGCTCTGAGAAGACACCTTCCTAAAGCGAAGCCACCTGGTCTGTGCATGTGGGTCAGGGCATGTGGGGAAGCCAGAGAGACTCCAGCCGAGGAGACAGCGGCCCAGGAAGAGTTAGCCAATTGTTCAAGTTCAGGAATGGCTGTAGCATAAGGTGACCAGATTTTAACATTGGTAAAGCGGGACACCATTGACGGGGGTGTGTGTGTGTGTGTGTGTGTGTGTGTGTGTGTTCTTGATTAAAAATTTGGTCTATATGGAGAAACAAAAATTTTCATAGAATGCAAAAATAGTATTGTAATATATTTTTTAATTTTCAACGTAAGCACAATTTATAAATATAATAAAGAAAGAAATAAAAATTGTGTATAGTATTATTTTATTCTTTGGCATATTTCTCATTTGAGTGAATTCTAACAACTGATCAACAATGGGAAATTTGATTAGCAGTTCTCGATAATCAGTTCTCAACAATTATTTGTTATTATTAAAGTTTATCATTATAAAATTAACAAAACTAATATAAAACTCATATCCTGGCTAAATAGCCACATGGCCGCTGAAAACCATATATTCTCTTCCCATTCTCCCGCCATTCCCTACTTGTTGTGCACTCTTTCCAAAAATCGGGACTTTTTAAAAATGCCACGGGACGTGGGACAAATAGTTAAAAATCCGGACTGTCCCGCTTGTCAGGTCACCTTACTGTAGCATGGCCCCAGACAAGCCTCCCTGCCCCCAGCACAGCCCTTTCACCCCTCAGCGCCTCCCCATTGCCTGCATTCTAACTGGGGCTCCTGTTACATCCTCCTGGGGGCTGTCCTCCTGTGCCCGTGCTCCCATGCCCCTTGTTCAAAGGAGTGGGTTAGAATCGGGCGTCACTTCTTGCCCGCGGGCTGAGCATGAAGACATCAGGATCGGAGTGTCACTAGCACACGGCCTGTCTGTGAAAGCGCCACAGGAGGCCTGGGACACCCGTCGGCTAAGATGTGGGGGGACTCTTGCTTGTTCAGCGGCCCCCAAAGTCCAGACAGGATGCTGGCCCCGCCAGCTCCATGCACAGCAGGGTGCACGGGAATATGTGTGCAGAGTCAGCTCGGGAGCCGGCTGCAGCCGGAGGCAAATGTTTGCTCAGCCTTCCTCCGTACAAAGACAGCTTCTGAGGTGCAGAGGCCCCGTGGGCTCCCGGGCGCGCTGTGCTTGGCAGGAACCAGATCAGCTGTGGTTTGGCCTGGACAGTGAGGGCCTGTGTGAGGCTGAACGTGTCTTTATCTCAGCGCCAGCATCAGAGAGCTGAAGCCGAGGTCTATCTGCAGGAAGATCAGCGGAGGGTGCGACCCAGGCTCTCTGCCTTCCTCACTGCAAGCCCTCTCTGTGCTCAGGGCCCTAAGATTCTAACACCAACGCTCGACCCCTTTGATCTAAACACGTGAGAGGTTTCTTAAAACACAAATAAAACTCTCGGTAGGGTAGCGGTACTGGGCATTTATGTCCTGGTGGTGGAGGCTTTCTCAGATCCCTCTCGGGTGAGTTTAATTTGGAGAAGAATGGAAAGAAAGGAACACGTGTTTTCAGGAAGGGGACAGTGTTGCTCAGTGTTAGCTCTTGCCATTTAGAGAAAATGGATTTCATGCTTGGCATCAGTATGAGACCAGAACCGGAGGCAGAACACGGGGGAGGACAGTCCGTTGGTGAGGGCACCATCGCTGTGGTGGGGTGACAGTTTTGGGTCCGTCAGGGACTGAGGTATGAAAACAGCGTCCAAATGAAAACCGTGCGTGTATGTTTACTGAGCAAGTTCTCCCCGTAGGAACTCTATTTGAGAAGACCAAACCAAACCTCAATCTGAGTCCCAACTCCTCAACTTTCTAGCCATGACACCTCAACCATTCTACGACTCCGTTTCCTCCTTGTAAAATGAGCTAATGGTATCTGTTTCACATGGTGGTTGGGAAAGTTAAGAGATGGTGTACTCTTCCCAGCACACTGTGTGGCCCTCACTACCCACTGTAGCGCAGGAATAGAAAATCATTAGAAAAAAACCATCAGGTCAATATAAACTTTATTATGCTTCGTGCTAGCGAGTAAGCAATTAAAATAGCATTTGAGTCATTAAACCCATGAAGAGTTTCAGCTGAGAGAAAGCCAAGAGTTTCTCTCTAAGAGCTGGGAAACCA